GGGACGTGCGGCGGCGAGCTCGGAGCGAGAGAGAGCAGAGGGCGGCGTCGGCTTCGGTCGACAGAGAAGAAGAAACAAGGGAGAAGAAAGAAAGAAAAGAGAAAGAAAGGAGAAGAAAGAAAAAAAAAAAGAAAAGAAGGAAAATGAAAAAGAAAAAGAAAGCTATTTTTTTGTGGTTTTAGGCTCCATTTGAGCTATGGTGAGAAGATTTATTTATTTTTTTCAATTTATAACTATTACAACACTCAACTTTGAAATTCAAAATTAGAAACTAACAGGGAATCACTAATCGATTCTGAGTTTTTCTTTTGAATACTTGCCTTTCCCGCGAACATGACGTGGGCACGTGACGAAGGCACGGAATTAGGGGCTCTCCAGGTTACTTGATGCGGGCACGTCAAGAGAACAAGAGCCCCTTCTGACGATTCTGATCGTGAACTCTCCATACGTCATGACGTGGGCGCGTCATGAGGGTAAGAACCGCTTCTAACGATTCTGACCGTGAGCTCTCCATACGTCATGACGCGGGCACGTCATGACGGCAAGAACCCCTTCTGACGATTCTAACCGTGAGCTCTCCATACGTTATGACGCAAGCGCGTCATGACAGAAGGACACCTACAAATCATCAAAAACGAAAATTGATTCCCGAAATCAGTCAAATTCAAGGAAAACATATTTAAACCATCACACGAAATCAAAACAAACAATTAAAAGAAATAATTGGGTTGCCTCCCAATGAGCACTTTTTTTTAATGTCTTTGGCTAGATATTGAACACCACTCTTCAATCTGGGTGTAACTCAATTTTCCTGGAAATGGGTGGCCCTCCTCCAGGATCCAAATAGCCTTTGAGGGCAGGCTCCTTTCTTAGTTTTCTACTCCTTTTCACCTCATATAGTGCTTTCATCCCCTTATACTTGTTCTCAATAAATTTGAATTTATCCCTACAAGCAAACTCAGAAAATTCTTGCACAGAGGGATTAATAGCATGAATAGCAAACACAGGGTGAGAGTTAAAAGGATGTTCCATTGTATTAAAAATATTAAAGTGGACTAGTTCTCCATCAAATTCCATAGACAATGTACCCTTATTAACGTCAATTTTTGTCTGTGCTGTAATTAACAAGGGTCTACCTAGTAGCAAATGTGAGGGGTCAGGGAATGATCATCATCCATGTCAAGTACATAAAAGTCAGTCGGAAATATCAATTCATTAACTTTAACCAGCACATCCTCTATCAACCCATCAGGGTGTGTATTTGTTCGGTCAACTAATTGAATTATTATCTCAGTTTCTTTTAATGGACTGAGGTTCAGAGAAGCATACATAGATTTAGGCATTACGTTGATTGATGCTCCTAAGTCCAGCAGGGTATTCCTAATTAAAGTATTACCTATCTTACATGGGACAGTAAACCTACCTGGATCCCCGCACTTTGGTGGAAGCTTCCTTTGGAGAATTGCTGACACATTCTCCCCAACAATGATCCTTTCGTCTTCCATCAGCCGCTTTCGATTGACACATAGGTCCCTCAAAAATTTTGCATACTTCGGCACTTGTTTGATGGCATCTCATGAGGGGATATTGATCTCTACCTTGCGGAATACCTCTAGGATCTCTTTCTCTTTGTCCTGCTTTTTCGGTTTCTCCAACCTGCAAGGAAATGGAGGGGGATTAGTTTTAACGTCTATGATCGGGTCAGGGAGTACCACTGGATTTTTTGTGCTTGTATTCTCTGCCTAAAGTTCTTTCTCAATCTCCTCTTCATCCTTATCCTTTGGAGTCACGAGTTCGGGCCCTTGAATTTCCTTCCCACTCTTTAAAATCATTGCACTTACGTTCTTCAAGTTCAGTTCAGGTTAGGATGGCAATCTTCCATTTACTTGGGACTCCAAACGGTTGATTTTTTTGACCGTTTGACTCATCTGATTTCTTATGTCCTGCATTTCGGAGTCCGTCCTTTGCTGATTTTGTGTAATGGTTGCCATCAGTTGTTTCATCATCTCCTCCAAAGATGGACCAGAGCTTGGGGGGGAGGTGGTCGGGGTTGGTACTGCTACTGGTACCCTTGTTGTCTATTTGGCATGAAGTTGGACTGCTTGTTCCCTCCATAGCTGAGGTTAGGGTGGTCCCTCCAACCAGGGTTGTAGGTACTTGAATAGGGGTCATAGGGCCTTCTTGGCGCGGGCACGTGACCTGCCATGTTCACCTGTTCTGCAGTTTCTTCCTGAATCATTGGGCACATGTCTGCAGACTGACCCATACCAGTGCAAACCCCACATACTTTGGCTTGTGATGCATTTCCCACAGCCAGTTGCCTAACGAAGGATGTCAACTCACTTAGCTGCTGCTGGATAGAGGATGTTTCTATCTCATTTACCTTGCGTATTGGAACATCCTCCCTCGTACCAAATTGTTATGAATTCTCTGCCATTCCCTCTATTAACTCCCGTGCTTCTCGAGGGATTTTGTTCACCAATGCCCCTCCACTTGCAGCATCAATTATGCTCATGTCCCTAAAAAGGAGCCCCTCATAAAAATACTGTATAAGCAACTGCTCGCTTATCTGGTGTTGGGGGTACTTTTTGCACAATTTCTTGAACCGCTCCCAATATTCATAGAGTGACTCCCCTGGGGTGCTGCTTGATCCCGCAAATTTCTTTCCTTAAACTTGCAACCCTGGACGCAGGAAAATATTTATCCAAAAATTTTTTCTTTAATTGGTCCCACGTGGTGATGCTACCTGGTGGTAGGTAGTACAGTCAGTCCTTTGCAAAATCCTTCAAGGAAAAGGGGAATGCCCTCATTTTTATCTACTCTTCTGTGATTTCCGGGGGTTTCATACTATTGCACACGACATCAAACTCCTGCAGATACTTATACGGCTCTTCACCTGGTAAACCATGAAAAGAGGGTAAAAGATAAATCAGACCAGATTTTAGTTCAAATGGAGTGTTATCATTTAAGGTGGGGAAGGTAATGCATAAAGGCTGCAGATTTAAATCAGGAGCAACCAACTCCCTTAATATCCGTGCATTAGCCATGGTGCCTTTCTCCTAGTCAGAGTCACTCGAAGTGTCACCAAACGAATCTGTCGGTTCAACTTCTGACTCAGGTCTCTGAGATGCAGCACTGGACTGCTCCTTTCTGAGTTGTCTGGTTTCCTTTCTCGTTCTACGTGCGGTCTTCTTTATTTCAGGGTCAAAAATCAAATCACCTGTATGAGAAGACTGAGGCATACACTAGAAAAATATCAAAAAATTAGAGCAAAAAATGAATGTAAAAAAAAAAGAAACAAATAATAACGCCAGTTCCCGGCAACGGCGCCGAAAATTGACAGGGTGTCGAAGCCTGTGCAATAATAAAAAGAAACCTAATTTCCAGTTAAAATGACCAAAACCCAATTCCAAATACTGGAGCAGGGACTCTAGGTGTGCAATGAGTTATTTCATTCACCCTGTTCTCGAAGAGTTTGCTTGATCCGATATACCCGAATGGGATGGTTATTTTTTCACAATTAATTATGAATTTGTAGACAGGGCAAGTAAGGTCGTATCCACAGGGATTGGGTATAAATGTCTCTTAAGAAATCCAAAATAACAAAGAGGGGTGTTTTGTAGAAACGATGACAATCAAAGAAATTTAAATAAGAAAATAAAAATAATTGACTAACTAGAAATTAAATGGCAATTCACCAAACATAACGTAACAATAATTAAAGATCCAAAATAATTAAAACAAGAAGACAATTAAAAATAAAATAAAATAGGCAACTAAAAATCAAACGGCAATTCACTAAAATCAAGGTAATATTAATTAACGATCTAGCCAAGGAATAACTTCAGCAATGGTTCACCTAATTGATCATCGAAACAAAGGCAATTCCAATTATTTATCAATAAATACGTTATAACTATCAAACAAGCGATGGCAGTCAACCCCTCCTTACTGTGTCGATAATTAAGGTACGCCCGTTAATCACTGCTCTAATTAGGAAATAATCCTAGGTTCGCCCGTAAGATTTAATTCCCCAATTGCCTTACGTATTAGAGGAGCCCTATTCTAACCAAATAACGCACTACCAGGGTTATTTCAGATTAGCCCGCGTATCCCTCTGACACAAATCTAATCGTGCCAGTTATCACTAATTTAAGGCAATTAAATAATTACGGATTTAATGCCCTAATTGATAATAGATTATCAAATCAATTAATTTTCTGGATCCAAGACAATCAATTAATTGAACAATCATAAGCACTGTAACCAGAGAACATGCGAATACCAATAAATAAAAGAAAATGGTAAAATTAAATCGATCTCACAATTTTAGACGACCCAAAACATCCGTTGTCCCTTGACTAGAGTGAGGGAATTAGTTCATATTTGATGAACTGAACCCACAAGAAATAAAAGCAAAACCTGCGGCCATCAATGGGAAAGTGCGCAGATTCAATTCGTTCTGTTCAATAAGGAAAGCAAACTGCCGGAGGCAACCGATTGTTTTTGCCCTCTCTGACATACGGAGGGAAAACGACTCAAAAGCTAAAAGGGAAGACAAGTCAAAAGTTTTTCCTTTTCATCCACGGGAGAAGAGCACCAAAAAGTAAGAAAAGGAATACCATTGAAAAGTCAACGGCCAGCCTAAGCTAACAGACCAGAAGTGCCCCCTAGTGCTTGTTCTCTGCACAATTTATTCTAATTCCTATCCTCTGCCTCCAGATGTGCGGCGGCCCCTAGGGAAAAGAAAAATCCAGCCGTCTTCTCCTCTCCAGCAAATTACCGAAATGGGCCAAAATTTTTCTTTGCCAACAATGCCCCTGAGATAATCTGTTACTTGGACTCCCTTCCTGTCAAATTGGCACTTATTATGATATTTTCGTTCTACTCCCTGAAATAAATGCAAAATATCAAAATTGAATAGAATCTAGCAATTAATCCACATTAGGCCAGATAATAGGGAAAATTAATAATAAAATAAATGATAAAATTGCAACATATCATCCAGCCACAACAACAACTGCAAGTGGCAATCCTCTGCACTTCTTGGCAATCTTCATAGCGATTCCACATAATGCTTGAGGACAATCTTCTTTTCCAAATACCTTCTTCTGCAGTAATTCAAAACTTTCTTTCTTATTGAGCTGGCGAAGATAGTGAGGTTTCCCCCCATATTCAACCTGTGAAGCCACATTAGAAGATCGACTTGTGAAGATGATTCTACTTCCTTTCTTGTCATCCGGGAATGAAATTCTCAGCTCATTCCATAACTTAATGTCCCATATATCATCAAAAACAACAAGATACCGATTCTCCTTTAGTTTTTTGTAGAGATTTTCAAGCAACAAATATTCATCCATATTTTTTAACTTATCATCCATGTTGGAATGTTTGCCTTCATAGCACAAAATTTGAAGTAACACATTTTTGATGCTATAGGCTTGAGAAACAGTACACCAAAGACGAATGTGGAAGTTACAGATTACTGAACTATCATTGTAAACTTTTTTGGCTAAAGTTGTCTTACCAAGCCCAGCCATTCCCACGATGGGAACAATTTCCAACTGTTCTAGTCCCCATATAAGTCATTCAATTACTTTTGCTGCCTCATCATCAAGACCAACCATGACTTCATGGGCTATTGGCATTTTACATTTTGGTAGCATGTGGCTGGAAGTCTGGCTAACTTGGGGTGCTCTTAAGCTATGAAAGGAAGGAAGAATTTCAATAATGCTTGAGCCACTGATCTGACCCTTAAAGTGCTTGATATAGATGTTGGTGTTAGCCAGTATATCATAACAGTCAAGGGCCTCTTTGGATTCTGAGAAGCTAACTTCTCCTTCTTTCACTCTGTTTAGAGAAGGCGAGCAAATTATAATGCCTGCCTCACTAAGGAGAGCTCCAATTTTTTCATTTTGTTCATCCATCTTCTCCTGATGCTCCCTTAAAATGCTTCTCAAGAATCTCAGTCCTGCATAGAGTATGTGTATTTTATCTTTCATAGAATCCATAAAGCTAGAGCTGCAGCATAACATCTCCCAGAGACAACTAATCAGAGAATCATTGAAGTTGTTCAATATCTGCTTGTCCTGCCTCATCGGTGTATGTAATGATGCTGAGCAGTTTGAAGCTCTAAGAACTTCCATATAAATCTCATAGACATGAAAATCAATAGGTGTGATCTTCTGTTGTTGCTCATATATCATGGAGCAGAACTCAGGATTGTGCATTTCCTTTGCATCAACCAAATAAGAACCTGTAAGAGCAGAACAGATGTAAGAGAGGCATGCTGCGTTCAAAGCCACCACTTCGAAGTGCGCCAATAGCAAGGCAGGAATATCTGCAGTTCCTCGCATTTTGGCAAAGGGAATGAAGCTTTTCAAGAATGTCAGCTTTGCTTCAAGGGCTTGGACTTGAGCACTCCAAGTAGCAGAAATAGACGATTCACTAACTTCCCAATCCATATAGCCATTCGTCAAATCTGCTAGATTTTGTAGGATGAGGTCTATGAATTCCATTAGTTCATCATCTGTCATACAAGAATTTGATTGCAATGACCTGCTGCTTGCCAAAGCAAAGTAAATTTGGATGATTTCTCGATCAAGCAATTTGATCTGTTCCTCAATTTCGAGGAACACTCCATATTTGTCTGTTTCTGATCTAAGGGAAAGAGAGTGAATATCCTTCTCATATTTGCGAAAGATATCTTCGATGCAAGATAAGAAAGATGGAAGACTCACCTTCTTCACAACATTGTCAAATTCCAAGTACAAATCATTGCTTTGGCTTCACTTTCTTGCACACATAAGAAATGTTTTGAGAAATTTCATGTGTTCGATTGCATCACCAACAACGTAAGGAACAAACCGGTCTGGGACGCTGTTCAGGAGCAACTCTAGAACAAGTAAGACACGATCGATGCAGCAAGTAGAGGCCATCTCCATGTCTTATGGAGGGATTTTCGTCAGTTTCACTCTCAAATTCTAAGAGAGAAACAAATCTCACTAACTGCAAAGCTAGCAAGTACTTCTTTCCTGAAAATTACTACTACTTTGCTTTTCTTATTTGTTTCTGGTGAGATAACAGTAGTTTAGGTGATATGAAAATTAAAGGTAGGATTTATCCCTACCAAGAATAACCCGGATCAGCCCCTCTCTATTTTACATTTATATTGCCTCAAATTGAAAATCTAATGTTAGATCTGGCCCCAGGAAATTAACAAAAGGATTTGTAGCAACCCCCAAAGATAAATAACAAAACAGAAATAAGTAAAACAAGAACATAAGAATTTACGTGGTTCGGTCAAATTGACCTACGTCCACGGGCAGAGGAGGAGCAATATTTTACTATGAAAAAGAGAGTACAAAAGATGCCTTAAGAAAGTGTTCTTAAGTCCAAAACACCTAATACTAAAACACAAGAGAGCCCAAAAGTATTTAACTAAACAAAAGGTTTAATGACACAAAGGCCCAAATAGCCCACTAATGCTCTCTTGGTCTTGGTGCTCTTAACCCCATCACAGGCCCACTATATTTATAGGCAACCAAGGGAAAGGTTCCTTTATGCAAAAGCCGATGTGGGACAACGCCACACTAACAAATCTCCACCTTGGAGTGTCCCCAACATCAACAGTAGCAAAACTGCTTCACCTTCTCCACATAAGCCCCAATGGGCTCACCAACAACGAATACCAACCCAATTCAAGCATTGTTTGAACTTGTAAACTGGAAGAGGTTTCGTGAACATGTCAGCAGGATTCTCCTTGGTACTGATTTTCTGAACAAGAACTTTTCCCTCAGCAATAGTATCTCGAATGAAATGAAATTTCACATCAATGTGTTTCGTCCTCTCATGATACATCTGGTCTTTAGTCAAATGAATGGCATTTTGACTATCACAGTAAATAGTAGTAACACCTTGATACAAACTAAGTTCGCCAAACAGACTCTTCAATCACAAGGCTTCTTTGATTGCCTCAGTCATGGCCATATATTCTGCCTCCGTAGTAGATAAAGCTACAACGGATTGTAAAGTAGCTTTCCAACTAACTGCACAACCGCCAATACAAAATACGTAATCTGAAAATGATTTTCTCTTGTCAAGATCCCCAGCATAGTCAAAGTCTACAAAATCAATCAAAGTGTCACTATTTCTTCCAAACTCCAAACTACAATTTGAAGTCCCTCGCAAGTATCTGAGAATCCACTTCACAGCTTGCCAATGTGCTTTTTCGGGACACGACATATACCTACTAACCACACTGACTGCTTGTACAATATCTGGACAAGTACAAACCATTGCATACATAATGCTGCCAACTGCGTTAGAATAAGGAACCCGTGCCATATACTCTTCCTCTTCAACTGACTGTGGTGACTGAGCAGCAGATAGTCGAACATGACTAGCAAGAGGAGCAGTCACAGGTTTAGCATCTTTCATGCCAAACTTCTCCAAAACCTTTTCAAGATAATTTTCTTGAGTCAAGAATAATTTTTCAGCTCCTCAGTCTCTTTTGATCTCCATGCCAAGAATTTTCTTACCTGCTCCCAAATGTTTCATGTCAAATTCACTACTTAACTGCAACTTTAAAGTGTGAATTTCTGATAAATTCTGGGCAGCAATGAACATGTCATCAACATAAAGCAGCAAATAAATAAAAGAACCATCATCTAACTTCCGGAAGTAAACGCGACTATCATACATGTTCCTTAAATAACCATGACTCAACATAAAAGTGTCAAATCTCTTATACCACTGTCTTGGAGATTGTTTCAATCCATATAAGAATTTTTTTAACAAACAAACATGATCTTCCTTTCCTTCAATTTCAAATCCCTGATGTTGTTTCATATAAATTTTTTCTTCAAGATCACCATGTAAAAAAGCTGTCTTAACATCAAGTTGCTCCAACTCTAAATCATACATGGCAACTAAAGCAAGCAAAACACGAATAGAGCTTTGCTTAACAACAGGTGAAAATATTTCATTAAAATCAACACCTTGTACCTGACTATAGCCCTTTGCAACCAAACGTGATTTATTCCTTGCATCTTCAACTCCTGGAATACCTTCTTTCTTCTTGAAAACCTATTTGCATCCAGCAATTTTCTTACCAGGAGACGGCTTCACAAGAACCCAATGATAGGTCATAATTTGTTGTTAAATTTATAATTATTCTCCCCCTGATTTTAGCCAAATATTATTTTAATCGTCGGATTCTACTTATATTTGGTATTTTGTGCTTATTTCAGGAGAAAGAATGAAAAGTGCTTAAAATCAAATTTCAGAGAACTTCTTGATGAGTAGGTGTGCCCACGCCTAACTCCAGCCTTCTTGGCCGGACTTTCGGGATTATGTGCACGTGGAAAGCTTCCTAGAATGAGTGGAATAGCTGACTTTAAATCAGGAAATCACAAGACTCGTGGGCCGCAGAGGTGTAGAGGATAAAAACTCTAATCCTACAAAACGTCAAGGACTGGGAAGCTTACTTTTCTTTTTCAGCGGCCAATAGGAACAAAGCCAGAATCACGTATGAATTAGACTAGCTGGAGTTTCCTTTTTCTAGGGGTCAGACGTCTTCTTTTAGGAGGACAATTCCTATCTTTTTATTGGGACGGCTGAGCCGACTTTTTATTTTTCCTTCCTTGGCCGATTTGGCCAGGGAGAATTTTGTAAGCTTCAGATTGGTTTTTCGGATGGTTGTTCTCCATTAATGGAGGACTAAGTTCTTATTGCTAGTCAAGGGGACAACTGAAGATTTGGTTCAACAATTTCTGTGAGATCTAATTTATTTTAATTGCTTCCTCCATTTATTGGTATTCATATGTTTCCTGCTTTTAACCGTTATAGCTCGTGTGAATGATTGAATAGATGCGTAATATTTAATTATTCACATAGGCTATTTTGCTAAATAGGGATAATTGAATCCGTAATTGTTCGTTATCTTTATTTCAGTAGCAACTGGCGTAATTGGGTTTATGTCAGGGGAACATACGATCTAATTTAAACAAACTCTCGTAGTGTGTTTGTTAGTTAGGATTGGGCCTTTCTAATTATTAATGCAATCTAGAAATTAAATCCTACGGTCGTACTTAGGATTGTTTTTGGGTTAGAGAAATAGTTAACGGTCGTACCTTGACTATCGATAAATTACGGAAATGCTGGTTGTTTATCGCGTGCATGACAACTATAACTGGTCTATTAATAAATGTTGGGATTATTTTTACATCAATGATCAGTGCATGAACCATTTCTGAAGTATACTCTTGGCTAGAGTTTTCCCTCAATTATTTCTTTGAATTAATTATTTTCTGCAGTTAATTTATTTAGTTAGCATTTAATCCAAAACCCCCCATACTTTGGACTCTAGAAGAAACGAATTATCCCCAATCCCTGTGGATTCGACCCTGCTTATCACTATCTACAGAAATTATATTTTATTTGAGCAGGTATTTATTATTGCACAGGTTCGGCACCTGTCAATTTTTGGCGCCGTTGCCGGGGACTGGTGTCAGATTAATTTGTTTCTTTTTGAAGTTCA